TAGCCGCTGCGATGCTTTCGACCAAAACAGGCGCAGCTTGATGACATCATCAACATGCGCTATCGCGATAGAGCGATATAGTCAAAATCTCTATTGTTGGCCAAATTTATATCGTTTCTATTGCCCACCCCTACTCCAGAGTTCAGAAAACATAACACAACAGGACATTATGTTGACTGTGCCAAGTGTTTCCACCTCATTAAGTGCAATGAATCAACAGTTTGAGGCGACACAGCCACAGCATTTCTAAATGTAGCAAATCAGATTGAAGCTGCTGGAAGATAAATGCTTCAAGTATGGACACATGCAGATCTCTAAAAGCTAACTGACGTTTACATTCTTGGCAGATTTGAATCACAGTCCTTAAATAAATGTAATAACACATGTTCTATGTTTCTGATGTCCATCCAAACTCTGAGTGGGGCAACAGCTGATGCTGGGTCAGGACGTAAATAAGCAAGTGTCCTCACAGAAAGCCTTGGTGAGCTCAGGCTGACCAGCAGAGACTGTTGTGTGTATGAAGAGAGATGCTGCGGTCTGAAGAAGCTGAGGACAAACCTTCAGAGAATGGAAAGGATGGAAACTGCTCTGCCAGTTGTTGCTTAGAGGATCACGATGCACTGACATGCAATCAAAACGCCAGCTGGCTGTCACTACACCAACACTGGTCTCATGTGATGAGACACAGCTGAACGAAGCACAGCCACAGACTTCATCCTAATGAGCCCACCAGGACTGAGACCAGACCGGTCTCCTCAAAATTGATTCTCTCGTCGTTCCTGCTGTTACAGTTACGTGTCACGTGTACAGGTGTGTGTTTACATGCTTAAGACATCACAAATACCAGATGACATCACATTAAAGTGCACCACCTCAACTATGATTGCTAACAGGCCTGGATGTTTTCCATCAACTTGGAAACTCTGCATTTTTCTCGGTTTTCTACCAGCATCACACAAATATGTCAGCAGCAGCGAGCCACAAGCCTTCCAAAACATCCAGCTCTGCTTCACGAAGTCACGCTATGAGGCCGGGGGCCCAGCTTGTTCAATCACCAGGCAGCCTGATCATGTTTCATGATCATGTCATGGAAACTGCCTGTTTCTTTTTCCTCTAGGCCCTTTTCTTTGAGCCAAAGTGTTTTACTTTGGTTTTACAGGATCCGTAGCTTAAATCCTCGGCACTTTTCTATTACAAGAGTAGCTGCAGCTAAAGCAGGATATTCTGTATTTGACTGAAACACATTAAAGTCTTGTTTGGAGATATAACTGTTGACTTGAATAAATGCTGCGACGCTCGACGGTCTAATCTGATGTTTCCCTGACAAACATCTTTCTTGGCTACAACGTGAACAGCAGCATTTTAACGCAGCAGCATGGAGCAGTGACCTCATGCTGTAGATCTGAGACCAGAACGAAACACAAGCCCACCCTCAGAGGGGCTCGAGCCAGTGTGCTCTTTATGCTGGTCCTGAACAAAAATCAACGGGAGGCTTCGAGTCACACTGATTTATTTGTACGGTAAAATCTGAAGTCCTCAAACTCTCGATGGTCTTCCTTTTAGTGCTTAGCTAACTGTGAATGCACTGGGAAAGTGTCTCACCTGTAGACAGAAAGGTGGAAGAGGAATGCCAGCGCTCATGTGATGACATGTAATATCCATTCACACTGCAAGCACGCACACTTTTCACACACTGTCTATTTAAAGTTGCACAGCTGATAACTGATAAAATCCGTCTTTGGAATCCACTTTGTGCATTTTTACCTCTACTTCTCTACGACTCCTGAACCAAGAGACGCGACACCTGCAGATAAGACACTTCATGTCTATTGTTAGAGACAGAAACTTACTCAGCAGTCTGTCAGGAAACAGCTCGGCTAAAACGTCTGTTGTACTTAAAGACAGCGATCCTCTGCAGCTGTGTACGACTCACATGTCATTGACTTTCTTCTGACTCATCAGCTTTTCAAAGCCCGGACGTTTAATTAAGTTGCAGCGACTCTTAGAAAGCATTTGAGGAATATTTGAGGCTGTCGTGGGTGTTGCTCGGAGGCAAGGTGGGGTCAGGTTAGCGGCAGCGAGGATGTGCCGTTTCCTAAAACTGAATTCCTGCATGCTTCTCATTCCTGCCTGTAGTTCAGTCACTTCCTGCTGGCTTCACTGCGCCCAAGCTCCGTCTACCTTTACTCCCACCTTAGTCTACGTTACCTCATCCATACAAGTGTTTGCTTGTATTCATTATCAGTATTTTGGACTTTTGTGTCATTATTACGGTTGAATTAAAAACTCTGATTTACCTCTCATATATACCTTTCA